GAGGATGTTCCAGGTTCTTTGATAAGCTTTATTGTCTGTTTAATGCAGGCTAGATTTGACTCCAAAAATCAACAAAGGTAAATAGGTAAATGGCTGTTGCATGTTAGAGAGGTCTAGTCTGACTATATAGGAGCCAGTTTGTGCTGTAATTTTAGATGCAGCCTCTGAAAATAGTTGTCCAAGTCTCCTAGTGACATGATAGAACTGCTTTATTAATTAGCATCTACATGTTAGGCTCAGTTAAGTGCCTAACACGGGCTGACTGACTCTTATCATTAGCCTGTCTGCTGCTTGTCTTAAGTAACTGCTGCAAATCTAGTGCATCTGGATTTGAGCTAAACACCAGAAGCGTGTTCTCTGCTGAATATCAGTAGTCTCCAAATACAGTCTGGATGGATTTGGGGAAACATTTTGGGGTATTTTATCTCCAGCATTCAAGACTCTTTATGACCAGTTATGCTGATTTCTACATGATAATGGACTTTCTCGTGTTTTATGCCTGTTTTGGTTTTGCAAGAGAGACAAGGCTGTCATTTCCAGCACTTCTCAGCTTTGCAGGTTCTCACTTGAAATCACAGTATCCCAGCATTAGCTTTTAGTATGGGTACTGCTGCTGAAGAGGAAGTATTTGAGAGAAAATGGGTTTTTTAATGGTTGTGTGAATTTTGCTTTCCCTTTATTTTGAAGGCCCACATGATGAGGATATAAAAACAACAGCAATTTATTAAGTATTTTTTACTCCCTGTCTTGAAATTTGATTGAAAACTGCAAAAGACTTCTCACGGAAAAAGACTCAACACATTTGTGTCTTGTAAAGTAGATTTATGATTTTATCCATCTGTGTCTAAGAGTAAAGTAATTGAGCAGCAGCATGTTAATAGGAAAAATATTCTACTGCTAGCAGGATACAACTTTTGAATTGTTTCCTCAGGAAAAAAGGTTTTATAAATATATACTTGTTTCACTCCATTTGTCTGGAGTAAATCATGCATTATAACTGCAAATGCGTTTTTAATAATATGCTTTAAGTTGAAATGTGGTTTTGTATGTTTTAGAAATATGTCAGTAATGTAAAAAAGTAATGGTACAGTATATGTGTATTTTCATAGGGGCTTATTTGTTTTGTTTTTCATGTTTTTAAATTTAAAGCATAGTTTGAAAGCTGTTTAAGTCTGTAAATCAATTATTTACTCCTTCAGAAAGGGTTGGGGTTTTTTTGTTTCCATAATGTCTTAAATTTGTCGGATCTTACTAGTTATTTTTAGTGCCTTTTACCAGTGGAGAGAGTACTCTGGGTACAGGGTTTTTTTGAGTTTTGGTGGTGATTTTTTTTTTTGGAGAAAATCTGAAATTCTGAAACTGTGCTCTTGGATTGTAAGTTCTTGCATGTTATTTACCTATTCCTGGATCTCTGTAGTAGTCGTTCAGTGAAATTATTTTCTGTAATTAAATAGTCAGTTCTGAGGTATGACTGACATAAATAAGTATTAAATAAAGAAGCAGCAATGACATAGGATGATGATGGAGAAATTACTTTTGAAAGTACAGCTGTAACAGAGTACTGAACTGCAGATGTCAAGACCCTAGTGTCAGTGTTGCTGGCATGAAATACTTTTTAAGCTCATTTGAGGATTTTGTTCCTTTATGTTTTAATTTGTATGTTCTAGTCTATGAGTGTTTATGAACACAGATTAGCTGACATTTTCCATTGTAAAACCCTTTTTACAGTTGTAGATTCAACCGAAAGTTTGCATGCCAGTGGTCTATTTTGTACTGAATTTTAAAAGGAATTTTAAAATTAAGTCATTTTTCAAGAATGTGGGCTTTTTTCTCCCCAATTCATGTATTTTTGCCACTTTTAAAATATTCACCAGATTGTAGACCTATTGCTTTCAGTCAAGATTTTGGATTTAATAGCTCCCTTTATGCCTTCCCAGTGTATCATCCATGCCCCAACTCAGTAGAGCTGTGTTTGCAGTGCAGATCCTGCTCTCAGCTTCTGCGAGCAGAGGGTGAAAGGACCATGACCATGGCTGTGGCCGGCCATGGTGTACGTAGCCGATGGCTTGGAATTTATCAAAGCACAGGACAGACTGGACGGGAGACAGGGACAGAAAGCTAAAGGTTTAGATGTAGGGAGGAGCAGGTGGCAAGGATGTAGCTTAGAATTGAGGGGCATGGGGGGAAGGAGGGATTAAATACACAACACAAAGAAAGGACACCAAAACCAGAAGCAGGAGGAGACAGAAGATGGACTATGGTGGCAAAATGGACAGGGAAGAAAGGCAGCAAAGGGTAGAGAGCTGGTGAGGATGGGAAAATTAGCAGGTTAGTCAAGACAGAAGACATGAGAGGATATTGCTACAGTGGGAACTTGATGGGGAAGGATGCTAGATGCATGAATCAAGTGGTTATGGATATGCAAGAACCAGGAGGAAGAGCAGCAAGGAAACTGGGACCCAGAAGCTGAAGCTGGGAAAGGAAGAAAGGAAAAGAGAGCAGGGAGCAATGAGATGGTTTTGAGCACTTGGACACGCACATCTGCATGCCGGAACTGATATTTATTGCTGCCTGGACATTTCTCTGTTGCTCAGCAAATAGGTGTGAAACACGGCGGCAAGGTGTGTTGTGTTTTGCCTGTGGCAGGCCGGCTGGCACAGGAGAGAGCTGCTTTTTGGGGTTGCTGGTGAGTCCGTTACTGAAACCTGGAGAGCTCAGTGCCACAGGCCCCAGGGTACCGCCAGCACTTGGGGTGGCAGTCTGGTTTGTGGGTTTGCTGCTGTTCTTGCAGTTTTGAAGTCTATAAAGGTGCAAGGAAAGATGCTAAAAATGAAACTGAAAGATCTTTAATATGAGGTTAAGCTCTCCAAAATTGCAGAACTGCAGTAGCTAATGCAACCGCAGACTGCCTCGTGTGGTTATGTGTATGATAATAATAAGCTGTTTAAAAATAAGCTTGTGCATATGATCATGTAGATGGTAAGCTAATCAAGATTTTACAGATTATAAAGAGTGGTACAACTTGTATTTCACAATCAGCATCTAAATATTTGTAGAAAGAGTCGAAAATAATAAACTTCATGTAAATATGGTGGGGTTTTTTTCTGGCTAGCATGCTTTGTTTACACTTCTATTGGATGCCTGTGTGCTAGTAAGAGTAGTGATCTAACAGTAGTATGAGAGATGTGTTTTATAAAATAAGATAGTGAAGATGTATTGCCTAAAGCATACATAATAAATAAAATGTGTTTTCTAAAGACATAGAGCATATCAAGAGTGCAGACGGCATTGGCAATAACTATCTGACTTTAATGATAAAGTAGGATTTTTACCTGGTGGCTTTTAAATGGTTGGTAAAGAGTTTGTAGGAATGTTGTTAGGAAAACATATGAAGAGTTGTTCTGTAACAAAAACTAACTCTGGGACATAATAATTTAAAGACTTGGGGGGGGGGGGGGAAATCTCTTATGAATTCAAAAAGTGGTATTATCAAGCTGTTCCACTAACGTATTTCAAATTACCAAGGTTCTCTGCCAAAGTGAGCGTGAAAAATGCCTGAAGTACATGTATGGATGTAAACCTGCGTGAGAGGTGACTCTATTTCTCTCAGGGTTTGAAACTAACCTCTGAAGTGAAGTTTAGATTTTGGTTTAGTGGGGATTTTGTTTGTTCACATGTTTAAAGGCATTGTAAACTAAAAGGCAGAATTGTCTACTCTTTCTCAGATTAAATGAAAAAATATCTCTTGGTTATTTCAGATCAAGCTTTTATATACTACTGTTATTGCAAGAGAGCATTAGAAAGAGTTGTTGTCACTTCTAATGACGCTATTGCATTTTTGTTACTACACTGTGGCAATGCACTAAAGGATGAAATAACACCAAGGTTCAGAGCTCACATGTATATTCCTTTTAAAACTAGTGCTAGCACAGAAATCCTTCGAACTTATGCCTGCTGTAACAGTCTCACATTTTCCTTTCTGTTGGATCTATTCTAGCCTGCATCATTCTCCTATGTCCTTCCCAATATCACCAGCACCCTTCCTCTTTGTAAAGAAAATTGCACTCTGAATTGCACTGCCCAATATTCTTCCTCTTACAATTCCTCGCTCATCCTTTTGCTCCTTGGAGTGCACAGTTACATCAGTCCTCTATCAGAGACAACTAGCAGGTTCTTTGCTACTGACTCAGCCTTCTACAACTGCAATATATTAAGTCAAACTGTGGTTTCCTTAGCTTTCCATAAATTCGTAGGTACTCTCTGTGGTGTTACGCTCTGCTGTCTTTTCCCCCAAACCCTACCCGCAGTTCCTCTCCTTGACCCAATGGGCCCATGGCTTCCAGGCCACTGTAATTCATGGGTTTATTCTTGATGTACGTAGTCTATAATTTTAGCCCAAGTGAAATGGAAGATTGCAACCTGGTATCTGCTGTTGGTATTATTTGCTCTATTTGTGTGGCTGTTTTCCCTGGTGCTCTGTTACCCTTTACCAGCTCCTGTGCCTCGCTGTCTGTACAGTACCCCTTGTCACAGCACTGATCAACTGCTTGGCAGATTCTTGACTGTGGTTGACTGTTCTGTCCTTACCTATAGCTAAGTGCCTATTTTGTGGAGTATTCTCACTGGTGTCATCATTAGCTGTAGTCCTGTGTGTGTGTTACGGAGCCGGGGGGAGGAGGAGGGCCGTGAATGCGATGCGTTGGGGTCCAGTCTTGGAAGATGACTGGGCAAAGTAAAAAACAACCGGAGTGCACAACCATTTCTGAGGTGCAATTCGTGAAAGAGCAGAGGTCCAAATAATTGCGTTATTATTTATATCTGGTTTTATATTATTAGGCTCTATTGTTTTCAAAGTGATATAAGGTAATTTATATCACAATACAGGTTTTGTATTTGCTTCAACCTGTTGCACACTAAAATTCATGCATGCAGAAGTAATCATTCATGCATCTTTCTCTGTTTGAGAGATTACACATTTCTTTCTATTCATGTTCTTCCAGGTGACTTGGATTATTACTGGCTGGATCCTGCCACGTGGCACAGCAGGGAGACATCCCCTATTAGTTCGGTAAGAAATAGGAAAAAAAGACGTTCATAAGTATGAATTAAAATGTTTGCTGATTGTTTCAGTTCAGCATAGATATTTTGTTGTAAAAAAATATTCCATGCAAGTTACGTGAAAATTTGGTTTAGTGGATCATGGAAATTGAAATTAGAAAGAAATTTTTGTCAAAATATATGCTGGTAAAATTGCCTGAATTCTAACTTGAATTCTTTTATAGACATAATGCTAGATTTCACTACATACCACAAAAGCAGTTGTGAGCATGATGCCACTCTGGGAGACATTAGTGACTC